TAAGGAAGATCAAGGAAGTCAAGGAGATCACTATATTAAGGTTAGGAAACTATTCTCTAATAGTTTTGGTAACCTTGCATTCAAGGTGGGCAAAAATAACTTCAGAAGATGAAAGACCCCATTTAAGTTGTAGAGCTTTATTCAATACCCTGCAAGTCCTTATTGGCAGTTCAAAAGCTATTTTACAAAGGATCAAGAACATTGTATGGAGAAGGGTTATGGTGAGCTAGGTTTCCTACCTTCACAAGGAGGAAAAGCAGGATGATGATGAAGACACTGACTTTGGGATGGATCCAGGCAGCAGATTTACCTAGGATCTGTGGGTCCCCTGTGTATGTCGCCCAGGTATAATTATCAAAGAGAGAGCTGATGGCTTCCCGTGGCATCAACTAAACAGCAAAAACCAAACAAACAGGCATAAGCCATGAGATTAGATGGAGTAAATATTCTATTTCTGTTCCAAGAAAGCAGAGGAGGTTTTTACTTCAGTCATGACAATGAGACTTCATTCACATTTTTAATCTTCAGGAAGAGAGAGAGGACTTTACCTGAATCAGTGAAAGGGTAACTACTTTCACAGATGGGGTAATGTCTTCCTTGCTACTTGCTTAGGAGAAGTTTTATTTGAAGAAGATACCAGAGATCATAAGTCTCAGAACATAGTCTTGCCTCAGTCCAAACTCCTCCCAAATATTTCTCTTCCTTTCCATGACATAAAACCTATGGTTTATTGAGGCACAGGGCAAGGGGAGACTGTTCAGCAGAGCTGCATAAAAGTACAAGTTACACTCTCACCTCTCCTGCCATGAACTGCCCAAATCCTGGAGGGAAGGTCATACTTGCTATAAAGAAGGTTATAACCCCAGGGTATATGAGGCGGCTGAAAAAGAAGAAACGTGCGTTAAAATATAACCTTACATTCTTTTCTTGTAGTACTCACTTCAGGACTATGAATGCTATTTCTAGGAATCTCTCTGCCACATCTGTATTTGCTGTTTTGTAGTTCTGCTGCTGGCAATTTAATCCCCTGCTCCACGGATCATCGTCCTTCATAGAGAATTCAACTGTCAGCAAAGCCATTTTCCCCATCACAATTCATTTATTGGGAGGCATGGAGGGAGAGAGTGATGTACAAAATGTACAGACTTGAAGACACAGGGGAGGAAGGGTGTATTTACAATTATGTGTTGACCTATTGTCAAAAGCCTGCACCTCCTCCATTTGTCCTGGTTATGCCAGTCTTGCTGCTTCATCTCCCATCCAATATCCTGACTGAGTGTATTTACATATAGGTTTTTTCATACTTTTCTGCATGTATTCCCCATTGCATGAATTTTTATGGGAAAAACTGCTTTTATTTCCATTGAACTGTCACAATTTTTGGGAAGGTGTCCTTGGTGTAGCTGTAGTGGGTCAGTGGGGCATAACTGGATTACAGGCTGAAGCCACCTGGGTTTTCCTACTGCTGTGTCCAATCCCAGGATGGGTTTCTGGGGACACTGTGACACTTCATGGGCACTGAGACAGCATGAGACTAAGTTGCCTCCATGTGCTGGAGTAATCCTGTCAGGCCTTGCCTGACAAATCACTGTGTACCCTATAGGAAGTTCTGTCTGAGATGATACCATGCTCCAGAAGATAAAACATAACCTTTCTTTCAGTCTAAGAACCTACAAAATTCTTATAAGTTAGTCAAAAGTTTAAAGCAAATGCCTGTTTTCAGGTTTTGCTCATCTACTCTATCAACTTTGATGGGTCTGCTCGTGGGTTATGCTACATAATGAAGAGAGACAATTTTTCTTCCACATAATAAATTTAGTTTGAACTTCTTTTTAACTAGTGCTTTTTTTTCCTTCTCCAATCTGCAACTTGCTGGGAAATGTAGGTCCTTCACACCTCTCAACTTAAAAAATTCTTGTAGCATTAGATTTCTTCTGTAAAGGGACTGAAAACATTTAAAATTACCCACCTTTTCTTCTTCAGGTTATAGCTTTGGAGGTTATAACTCTATTAGTATTTTCAAGTGCTGTGTAAAACCTTTATTGCTAAGATTTGTATTTTGTTTTGAGTTTCTCTTCCATGCTGCAATTCACACTATTTGGTCACTAAAAATTACAGCTTTTGGTTTGTAAATATGAAGTAATTGAAATACTGCAGCACATTCTCTACATTTTTGCCTATACATTTATTTTTTTAAAAATTAGATTTAAAGATAGAGATTTCAGTTGTATTTAGCTTTCTTGCATATAATTGATGTTGAATTTATGTTTTTACAGATTCTAAAAAAAATTATGCAAGGCAGCGATCTTAAGAAGCATGAGCACTGATTTTCTGATTGAAGAAAAATTCTGTCCAACCAGTAGTTTTCCTTGTACTCTTAATTAATATTACGCAGTCTCCCTTCTAAATCAAGAAGCTATCTGAAATTATAGGGGTTGGTCAAGAAGAAAATCCAGCTCAAAACAATTCTCTTGATGTTTGCAGGCATCCTTTTCTCGTATAGTTTCTCTTTCTCATATTTTTAGTATCTTATATTTGAAACAGTTCTCCTAGCTTCCAGAAAGCATTTGTTACTATCCAATTATCAGGTAGGGCTTAAAAACTCACTATTTGGTGAGAAACTGGCTCAGAGTGGTGTGACGCCGGATGCACAGAACCACTTGGCGGTTGAGATACACAAAAAAGGCTCCAAGGAATCCAGAACATATCCTGCAGTAGAGAAAATAGAATTAAATTATCTCAAACAATCGATAATATATGAACAATCAACCAACAAACTGCATTTAAGTGTTTTCCATCTTCATCTGTCTTTTAAATGTCTCCTAGAGGGTTACACCTACAGCAACTCACTTGAAGACACTGACGCCCTGGTGAAAGAGGAGAGATTATTTTGGATCTCTCTGGCACATACACTGCTATTTTGCCACTTGCAAATTTCTCTTTCTTGGAGGGGGCAATCTCATCTGTGAAAATCTATAAAATAATTATTAAAAAGGACTGACTGATGTCTGTGGGGGCTGGAAAGAGGAAAAAAGAACAGAGTAAAAATGGAGTTTACCTCTGATTCAGCAAAATTATATACCTACATCAAATATTTTAAATAATAGCAACTCTTGTGTTTAATGCAAAGTATGTAATTTCTATGATCCTAATCACTTAGGCCTGTGTTCCTAATCTTAACAAAGTCAAAAAAGTAGAGTTGTCTAAGGACTGTCCTTGATCCTTGTGCTCTCTAGCTTAATGAGACCAGAATAAAAAGGATAAATAGAGCCTAATATTTGAAGGTGAAACTAAAATAAAAACCCCAAAAATGGTGAAAAAAGAGTGCACTTAGAATAGGTGAGGGTAAATATTATTTTATATGGTAAATAATTAACTCAGAGAATAATGTGAATAAACATAAAATTTTCATTCTATTAGGTTTTTTAATTAATGAAATTAATTTTAATACACTTTGAGACTTAGGAGAATTTGGAACACTCTAAATTGGCACTGGGACCTTAGTCAAGACTATCCAAGTCTCTTTTGTTTTTAACTACCACATTGGACAACCAGGCATTTGAAAGCAGTTCACAGTTGTCATATACTCCTTTCTTAGTCTATGTACAATACTGCAAAAAAAAGCGCAACAAAAACCAGCTCTGCCAACTCAGATCAAAGCAAAATGACAAGAAGATTTGCATTCTACCAGTTGTAAATCACAAGGATTGTCTTTGTGCTTGACAATCTAAACAAAAAGGTTCCCCTGAGTTCACCTTGTAAGTCTCCTTAAGAAGGATTGTAGAATGGTCTGGGTTGGAAGAGACCTTAAAGATCATCTAGATCCAACCCCCTGCATGGGCAGGGACACCTCTCACTAGACCAGGTTGCTCAGAGCCCCATCCAACCTGGCTTCAAACACTTCCAGGGATGGGGTATCCACAGTATCTCTGGGCAACCTGTGCCAGTGTCTCACCACCCTCACACTGAACAATTTCTTAAACATAAAATTTTCATTCTATTAGGTTTTTAAATTAATTTTAATACACTTTGAGACTTAGGAGAATTTGGAACACTCTAAATTGGCACTGGGACCTTAGTCAAGACTATCCAAGTCTCTTTTGTTTTTAACTACCACATTGGACAACCAGGCATTTGAAAGCAGTTCACAGTTGTCATATACTCCTTTCTTAGTCTATGTACAATACTGCAAAAAAAAGCGCAACAAAAACCAGCTCTGCCAACTCAGATCAAAGCAAAATGACAAGAAGATTTGCATTCTACCAGTTGTAAATCACAAGGATTGTCTTTGTGCTTGACAATCTAAACAAAAAGGTTCCCCTGAGTTCACCTTGTAAGTCTCCTTAAGAAGGATTGTAGAATGGTCTGGGTTGGAAGAGACCTTAAAGATCATCTAGATCCAACCCCCTGCATGGGCAGGGACACCTCTCACTAGACCAGGTTGCTCAGAGCCCCATCCAACCTGGCTTCAAACACTTCCAGGGATGGGGTATCCACAGTATCTCTGGGCAACCTGTGCCAGTGTCTCACCACCCTCACACTGAACAATTTCTTCCTATTGTCTAACCTAAATCTCTCCTCTTCTAGTTTACAGCCACTACCCTTCATCCTATCACTACATGCCCTTGTAACAATTCATATACTGAGAGGACAAAGGGGAATAGCTTCAAAATGTTCATCCTTCAGAATGCTAAAATATAGCTTACAATACTCAGCAACTTGGGATCTGCTACAGGTGTGAATAAAGAGAATACATGAGATGGATCCAGAACTGGATACACAATAGAACCCAGAGGGTGGTAACCAATGGTGCAGAGTCCAGCTGGAGACCTGTAATTAGTAGAGTTCCCCAGGGATCAGTACTGGGTCCAATCCTGTTCAACATCATCACTAATGACCTGGATGAGGGGACAGAGTCTTCTCAGCAAGTTTGCTGATGACACGAAGCTGGGAGGAGTGGCTTATTCACTTGAAGGCTGTGCAGCCATTCAGCAAGATTTGGACAGGCTGGAGAGCTGGGCAAAGAGGAACCTAATGAGGTTCAACAAGACTAAGTAGAGTCCTGCTCTTGGGGAGGAAACATCATGCACCAGTATAGCTTAGGGGTTGACCTGATAGAAAGCAGCCCCATGGAGAAGGATCTTGGAATCCTGGTGGACAACAAGTTATTCATGGCACAGCAATGTGCCGTTGTGGCCAAGAGAGCCAACAGTATCATGGGATGTGTTAGGAACACACACAGTGTGGCCAGCAGGTCAATGGAGGTTCTACCTCCACTCTGCTCTGCCCTCATAAGACCTAATCTGGAGTATTGTGTCTAGTTCTCCCCAGTTCTAGAGGCACAGGGATTTACTGGAAAGAGCCCAAGAGTAGGCTGCGAGGATCATTACGGAACTGGAACACCTGTCATATGAGGAAAGGCTGAGAGACGTAGGGCTGTTTAGTCTGGAGAAGAGAAGACTGAGAGGGGACTCCATTAATGTCTACAAATATCTGATGGAGAGGGGACAATCTCTTTTCAGTTGTGCCCTGTGATAGGACATGCAATGGATACAAACTGGAAGACAGGAACTTCTAGCTCAACATGAGGAAAAACTTCTTTACTGTGAGGGTGACAGAGCACTGGAACAGGCTGCCCAGAGAGGTTGTGGAGTTTCCTTCTCTGGAAACTTTCAAGACCTGTCTGGACACGTTCCTGTGTGATCTGCCCTGGGTGTTCCTGTTGCAGCAGCAGGGTTGGACTTGATGATCTTCAGAGGTCCCTTCCAACCCCTATGATTCTATGACGTATTACTAGCAAAAACTAGTATATTCATAGATTTTCAACGTATTTCATGTCTTAAAAAATGGTTCTGGAAATCCTCAATTTTATTTCTGGGCTTGGACTCAAATCTTGTAATTCTTAAATTATTGTAACAGAATATTTTAACAATGCCAGCACAGGTAGTTTGTACCTACAGTGTATGCCCGTCACTACTATTCTGCAGTGATTTCCCTCTCTCAAGCTCTAACCCAAGACCTCACAGCACTTCAAAATTTAGTTTTTCTCTAGTATTTCCCAATTACCTTCTCATTTTTCTTAAGTTCATTCTTAAATTTCCTCCACAAATGAAAAAAAACCACAACAGGTATGTCCATAAATAAAAGAAAACTGACACTCTCCTTAATAAATCTATTGTTTTTCTTACTGGATCACATTATAGTTCAGTTAGCCTTACCACCATACCAAGGGTACCAAACTCTCTGAGTTTGTTTACAGGCTCTTCTGAGCTTGTAAAAAGGAAACTTCCTGGTTGAATCTTTTGTCCTATTTTTGTCAAGTGAAAAGGCCATACATGTTGGATCAGTTCATTTGGAAATGCCATAAAAATGGTTAAAGTGCCATTCAGTAAATCTATACACAGAACCTAGTCCAAATTAGACTTACTTTTTTTTCCCCCAGAACTTAATTTCTAAAAAGCTTCAGAGAAAGGAAATAACAAATGGCTTGAAAATACCCACATTTTCTTCCTTACCCACTGTGTTACATGGGCATCATTTCTGAAGGAGGAATCCAAACAAGGAGAGACTTTGGTTGTAACAATCAAACTGTTTACAAGAGCTGTAACTGCTTTGCAAAAAAATTCCTAACAGAGCTCACATGATAATCTTTGCAGAGCAAAAGGCCCAGGCTTATGGGAACTTACCCTATTACAGCAAAAGCTGGCAGCTCTTGCAGGTCAAAAGGGAAATCCATTCGAAAGTTTGTTCTGAACAGGGCTGTGATGGTAACTGTGAGAGAAGAAAGAGGTAGAGAAAGAAAGGGAATAAAGAAGTGAGAAGTTAAATGCCATAACAGCTAGGGATATAGGGACAGGAGAACTAGCTATATACATGTTTCTGTGTGTTTTAATGACATTATATACAATATTGCAGATTGGCAGACTGCTCTGCTTTTAGTAATGCCTAGTTTTGAGTACTTTGAACAAACCTAGGTTTTCAGGTTGCTCAAAGCCTCATCTGGCCTTGAACACTTCCAGGGATGGAGCATCCACAACTTCCCTGGGCAACCTGTGCCAGTGTCTCACTGCCCTAATAATGAAGAATTTCCTCCTAATGTCCAATCTAAATCTATCCTTTCCAAGTTTTAATCCATGTAAAAAGTCCCCCCCCCAGTCCAAGGAACACAGAGATGGTACAAGGAAGGGGTGGAAGAACCATCAGCGAGGGAAGAATGTGATCATTTTTTTGTTAGATCAGCCCAAGAAATGGATCAACTCAGTTTTGTTTTAGGAAAGATATATTCTAAGCCACTCAATGAGAGTACATTAAATGTAGGGCAGGGCACAGTTTCAAAGAGTTTTGCCACTGGGTGGCAATGATGACCAGGGCAAAAGGAAATGGTCACAACATTTAGTCTGAATCTTTCTAGGTTCCCTGTCCCTATTCCCACAGGACAGAAAGATTCCTAAGGAAAGATTCATCCCACCTATTTTCATCCTCCTTCCTGGGTGACTAGGCCATCTTGAAACTAAATAGCTAAGCCCTTTTGTCTCCATTGGCTATAAACTCTGCTAGTTTGAAGTACCTGTCCAACTCTTACAAGGTAAAAGTTAAGAGAAGTAAAAAGAAATAAGAAAATGTATTTAATGGGAAAGTCTAGATTAAAAAGCTATGAACTGTGCCACGTGTAGAAGTGATTAGAAAGAGCTGGAGGAAGCCAAGTTGTAAAACACTATGGCAAATAAGATGATGGTTTAGGACATTTCAAACAAAAATCCTGCGAATTGCAGAAGTCCAGTCTTGTGAGATTAGCAAAGGGCCTAAGTTGCAGCAGCCAGCAACAATGGGCCAGATGTTCTTTGGAAAGTACAGATAATGGTGTAAAGCCAGACAACAAAGCCATCAGTATCCAGAAGCCATTAAAGACTTTCTGGCCTAAGAAAGAAAATAATTTCAGTGAGATGCTATACAACTTACTTGCACCTGTCTACTCTGATGTGGTTCCTTCTTAGCTGCTACTTCCTGACAGCATTGATGCATCTTGGAGGTAAAAAATGAGAATAAGAGTTGGATCAGTGTAGGCAGCTCTAAGGGTCTTTCTACCTTTTTCCTCACTGCAGCTGCTAGAAATGTCTTAAAGCTGCATGAAAGTCATATCATAATGCACAGTATTGCACTGCAGTACTGTAATGCCTTCCAACAAAACCATTAGATAGCCACATCTGCTTGGAAGTCTGCTAATTTTATCTAGAAAACATTCTGGAAGAAGATGGCAAATGCTTGCCAAAGCAAAAAAATTCACATAATGTGCATGAATTTGCAATAGTTTACATGTTCCACATGAACCCTACGGGTAGATTTGCATAGTGCACGTGAAGGGAAATAGTTTCTTCCACTTTCAAATACATCAACTCAACTCTTACACAGACTTTCCTACTGGTGATCATAACAGCCATACAGGAAACTAGCACAAAGATACCCACTTATCTACTGAGTGCATAACTTCTGGGGTAGACAAGACTTTAGAGATTGTGAAGACATCAAAGGGGGGGCCCTAAGAAAAGCCCTTGTATGAACAAAGACTGAGAAGAGCAGGCTTGTAACTTTCGTA